AGCCCTACCTTCACCCACCACCTATGGAGCCGGTGGGATTCCCAGCTCTGCCAGCATGCCTGTGAGCCATGGGCAGGTCATTTTACCGCCCCAAAGTCAATGGAAACTCCCCCTCCCCCCGAGTGGTTTAGCGGTATGGGTGGAGGTTGGGTAGCCCTTGGAGCAGCCAGGATACAGGGGGCCATGCAGCCCCCCTGCTCCGTCGGCAGCCCCTCCACACTGGTTGCATGGTGTGCACCCGGGGTGCTCGTGGCACTGAGAAAACCCAGCGCCTGCCCTCACAGGGGTCTTCTGCACTAGCCCCTTTCAGAAGGGCGGGAGGAGCTTCGGTGTCCAAAGCTCACCCCATCCGTCCCTTGCAGGGAGGAGGCCCCCGCTTCACCCTGACGCATCCTAAGCCTGTGGACGTCTCCCCACACGCACGGTTCTGCTCACGCTCCGAGATCACACAAGGGCCTGGCTCAGCAGCCTGGGAAGACCTGGGCATGGGCCCCTTGTTGGACCCTTCCGCCCTGCCTGACCAAAGGTGGCTCCCGCCGCTGCAGACGGAGGTGATTTCGGTGTTACCTGGCAGCTCCTCGGTGAGTTCTTCCCAGTGGAACGGGGCGACTTTGAACATCATGGAGATGGCCTTCTGCAGCTGCATCTTGATCTTGTCCTGCAATAAACACACAGCCCTGCCAGTGAGCACGGGGAGAGGGAGCTGGATCTGTGCCCCAGCTGCACTGCCTGGACTTTCCACTCACAATCACACACACACACACACACACACCCTGCAATGACATCAATGGGTCAAGGAGGGCCTTGTGTGACAGCTGGAGGGTAGCACGGGCGTGCTGGTTAGGACGGGCAGGAAGGAAAGAGCCCGCTGGACTTGTACAACCCAAGGGGAGTTGACGGCTCTGGCAGGTGGCTTGTAGGCAGAGCTCATTTCGTCTGGGTCACAGTACAAATGATGGCAGAGACGCCATTTTGACGGTGGCTTTCCAGAGGAGACCCCTGGCTTAAGCTGAGCCCTCAGTCACACCTTGCATCAAGCGGTGACACACCGGCCTCCTGCTCCCGGCCCGAGGAAGAGCTCTGTGATGCCTGAAAGCCAACGGCAGAGATTCCCTCACCCGCCTTGCCCGCCCAGGGTCACTGGCAGCGGCACCAGCCCCCTTGGAAGAACTCCATTGCAGGCCACAAAGGTCCTGGGCTAGTTGGACGCTGCATCCGTAACAACAGGGAGCAATGTCAGACTGCTTGTCTGTGTCTTTCAGCGTCCTGCGTGCAAGTCCTTGGGGTTCCCCTGCAGGCGAGTCCACAGGGACCAGGGGCACAAAGCTTTCAGGAGCATGTGGAGAGGATGGTTCATCACACCGTGCCAGCTGTTAAACAACTGCTCGTTATTAATCTAGGCAAATGTCAGTCCCCTTAATGCAGGAGCCTCTGACTTTTCCTGGGAGGATCCTCTGAGCTGCAGTCTAGTCCAGTGTTTCTTAAACTGTGACACCGTGTGCTGCGAGGCAGTCGGAGGTGCGCCACAGAGAGCAACAGAATTCAAACTGGCCGCCCTTAAAGAGGCAGCTGACCTTTTTTCCCTCAATAACTTTCCCCTGATCCTTTCCCGCCCCCTCCCAGGAGCCCTTGGGAAAAAGGAGGGGAAAATTGTTGCTGCTCTTCCAGGCTGTGCAGGGAGAGTCAGGGGAGGCTGCATTTGGGGAGAGGAGCCGGATTTCTGCTGAGGAGCCTTTTCCAGGCCAGGAGCTGTTGTGCTGGGGCTTGGCTCTAGCAGGCTGCTTCGGGGCGGTTGATTGTCCCTGGAGGGGAGAGCCCCCGGCTGTGCCTGTGGCTGGGAAGGGCCTGCACAGGAGGTGACTGTGAGTAACTGGGGCTGTTTGGCAGAGCGCTGCCTGGGACGGAGCCCGGAAGACCGACTGACTCTGCCCAAAGAGAGCCAGAGTGAGCTCCCCAGGGACCAGAGCTGCTGGCATTGGGTGGGCCTGCTCCAGCAGCAGAGGGGTTTTCAGCTGGCTGTCTGCCTGGACTGACACACACAACCTGCCCAGGGCTGTCTCCACTCCAGCTGCAGCCCTTCGAGCGCCCCAGGCCAGCAGGTGAGTCCAGAGGAGGGTGGCAGCACATGCCAGAGACACGTCTCCTTTCTTCCTGGGCACTTCAATTGATTTTCTTCATGTTTAGTCTGCTCAACCCTGTTTGGTTACGTTGCTGAGCAGAGGTGGCTAAATCTAATTCAATCAATGAGAGGAGTGTTATTTACAATGGTTGCCTTGGAGTTAGACCCAGATTGTTACTGGAGTAAGTTGATTCCTGGAGGCTCCCCAGGTGCAGCATTCAGTGTGCACAGGGCCAGCCAGGTGGAGGCACCGGCACTGTATATTCCTTTAGGACCAAGAGACAGTGGCAAGGGGGTGAGTGGGGATTCCCGGCTATCCAATATCACCACTTGGCTATGCAGGATCCCTGTTAGTGTTAAAACCTCCAGGCACCCAGGGGAGCCTGGCCTGCTCCCGAGTGACCAGGGAGGGAAGAGGGGGCTACACAAAGCAGGTACACATTGCTAGAATATATATTTGCTGGTACCGTCAATATTGTTCCTAGCTACAGCCTTGGAGTTCCATGCCGTTTGCCATAGGGAACATAAGAACATCAGAGCAGCCATAACGGGTGAGACCAAAGGTCCATCTAGCCCAGTGTCCTGTCTGCTCACAGTGGCCAATGCCAGGTGTTCAAAGGGAGTGAACAGAAGAGAGAATCATCACGAGATCCCTCCTCTGTTGCCCATTTCCAGCTTTTGATAAACAGAGACCAGGGACACCATTCCTCCCCATCCTGGCTAATAAGTATTGAAGGATCCATCCTCCATGAATCTATCTAGCTCTTTTTTGAACCCTGTTAAATTCCTAGCCTTCACTGCATCTTCTGGCAAGGAGTTCCACAGGTTGACTGCGCTGAGTGAAGAAAAACTTCCTTTGGTTTGTTTTAAAATTGCTCCTGATTCATTTCATTTCACGTCCCCTCATTCTTGTGTTATGAGAACTTAAGAACGGCCAGACTGGGTCAGATTAAAGGTCCATCTAGCCCAGTGTCCTGTGATCTGACAGTGCTCAATGTCACATGTCCAGAGGGGATAAAACAGGATGGGTTTATTAGCGAGTCATCCATCCTCTGTCTACCACTCCCAGCTTGAGACATTCAGAAGATGAGGCTGCATCTCTGCCCATCTTGGCTAATAATCACTGATAGACCTATCCTCCATGAATTTGTCTAATTCTTTTGTGAAATCCCATTGTTGTTTTGGACTTTGCAACATCCCCTGGCAAGGAGTTCCACGGGTTGATGTGTGCTGCATGAAGAAAAACGTCCTTTGGTTTGTTTTAAACCTGCTGTCTATTAATTTCATTGGGTGACCCCTAGTTCTTTCATTATGTGAAGGAGGAAATAGCACTTCTATATTCATTTTCTACATGCCATTCATGATTGTATAGACGGAGAGCAAATCCCCTGGAGATCACTTTTCCAAGCTCAGATATCTGAGTCTTTGCAAGGGCTCCTCGTCCATATTCTTACTCATCTTTGTTGCCCTTCTCTGCCCCTTTCCAAATTGTAGTGTATCTTTGGGTATGTCTACACTACAAAGTGAATTCGAACTAACAGACGTTAGTTCAAACTAACTTTCATAGGCGCTACACACACGAACCGCTAGTTCGAACTTAATTCGAACTAGCGGAGCGCTTAATTCGAACTAGGTAAACCTCATTCCACGAGGACTAATGCCTAGTTCGAATTAAGGGCTATGTAGCCACTTAATTTGAATTAGTGGGAGGCTAGCCCTCCCCAGCTTGCCCTGGTGGCCACTCTGGCCAACACCAGGGAAACACTTCTGCCCCCCTCCTGGCCCCGGAGCCCTTAAAGGGGCACGGGCTGGCTACGGTGACCATGCCAGGTGCAAGCCTGCCAGCACCCGGCCAGCAGACCCTGCACCTGGCATGGCACGAGCCCGCCACCCAGCCCTCCACCTCTTCCCGGGACCAGGCTGGTGGCTCCCAGGAGCCTGCCTGGGGCCGCAAGAGGCGGGCACCCGCCTGGTCTAGTGCGGAGATCCTGGACCTCATCCATGTTTGGGGGAGGCGTCCAACGTTCACGAACTCCCCA